AATTTATAGAAATGTAACTCAAATCGTTCGCTCCATATGATAGTTAGCACACGTTCCTACCCGTCATAGCATAGCGTATGCGGCGGGAGTGGGCGGGGTCTATTTTTATCCTCCAATCACAGGTCGGAGCAATTCCTCTGTTTAGATGCATGTCATTTGAAGGGGTGCCATTTTGGCAGGGTCAGTGGTCATGTGTTGTGGTCGCTAAAGGCGTGTCTGTAATTCTCGCGAGTGGGTCGAAATAAAATGTGACGCAAACAAAACAGTCGTGAAAGCGAGCGTTCGTTTTTTCCCTACCTGCTCCGCACACAGGACTCATTTATTTCCAATAACCTCGCATTCCTAATACACGCGGTCGTACAGAAAAAAAACACGGACATATCGATAGAGACAGACGCGCACGCACACGTACAGATATATATACACACTTTCGATCACGTGACGCGGCGCAAATACGTACGACGGCCAATCACAACCGTTCGTGGCAGCGACCAATCACAACCACTCGCCGGCGCGACCAATCACAATCGCTCGCCGGTGCGACCAATCACAACCGATCGCGGCAGCGACCAATCAAAATCGCTCGCCAGTGCGACCAATCACAACCGCTCGTAGCAGCGACCAGTCACGATGTCCTGTGCAGCCACCAATCGTAACCGCTCGCGCACGGTGGCATACCAACGCTCGGCACACGTCATACGACAATGCGCGGTGATGTCGATAAACGTTACGGCGACAGGTAGACTAGAAGCAAACTCGACCGCTGCATTTCTCCACCCTAGCGTAGCATCCGGTAGCATGTCATTGTGATAGACATCCCCCCCTTATGGCAAGTGTCCCCCTCTCATGGCAAGTGTCCCCCTTATGGCGAGCATCCCCCCATACATTGAGCATGGGTGGCTAATAAAGGTAAAATGTCCATTCACATGTTCCAAGTGTCCTGTTAGACATGCCCACGCCCACACACAATGCATGGGGGGACATTCATCATGGGGGGTGTCTACTACATTACGCCGACATGGTGTGACCCTAATACGCAGGTCAAAATTTATAAATCCCGCTGCTGCGCGGCGGCGATGGTGGCGGCGCCACCGTACCGCCCGTGCCGCTCGTAAAAAAAAACGTTTACGCGCGATGTTCCCCCAACCGATGTGACAAATACTACAATACGGGTTATGAACACTATTACTACACTGTGTGCGTCATGCATGCAGAGTACATGACTGCATTCACTATACGCGTGGATGCACCGGGCAGTCACCACATGCGCGAATATACATTTCCATATATGCTCTGCATGCATGCATGCATGCGTGCGTATGCTCCACATATGTTGCAGCAGTGGTGAACGATGACAAATTATCAATAAATTGATCAATTAATCAATTCATCAATTTATTTCACAATTTGTCATTCGTCACCCCTGATTGCACCTGTGTGAATGCAAGCGCGCCACTTGAAAGAGACGAGTATAATTATGCGCTACATCTCTTCATACGTCACCAGTGCCGTACCGTACCCGAGCATGCACACCTACATACATACGTAGTATGTATGTCTTGTATATGTGTCTGCATACAGATACACATACACGACATGTGCACAGATATGCACATAATTAATGCATGCAAAATATGTATGCGCACACATCCACCATATGTGTCTATATATATACATGTGTACTTCATGTACTGCTATGAATACATGTAGATAATGGACGTATAAATTTTGTGTTCACTACTTTTTGCGTACGTACCTTCACCTATACCGAATGTACATGTACATGTACGTATGTGTGTATGTACATATACATTACATATGTATGTATGTACATGTACATGTACGTATGTATGTACATGTACATGTACGTATGTGTGTATGTACATATACATTACATATGTATGTATGTACATGTACATGTATGTATGTACATGTACATGTACATGTACGTATGTGTGTATGTACATATACATTACATATGTATGTATGTACACTTACATGTACGTTCATTTTGTGTACGCGCATGTACATTGCACGAGTATATACATGTACATCTACAATGTCTCCGTGTGCATGAGTGTACATACACATACATTGTGTGTGTGCGTATGCGTGCATGAGTGCGTGAGTGTGTACATGAACATCCACTGTGTCTGTGCATGTGTGTACATGTACAGCAACCCGTGTCTCATGCACACACACACACGCACGCACGCACGCACGCACGCACGCGCGCACACACACTTAATTACAGTACGGCACTCACGCGGCATTCGAGACGCCGTTCCTTACGATAGCATGCAGGGTTTCCACGAGTCTTGCCTCGTTAGAACCCGCGTGGGTGGATGCACGGAGCTGACGCAGCTCTCCCTCCCCACCCTCACCTCGATTCGACAACAACACACGTCACGTATCCTGAGGTGGAAACAAATTACAAGAGTGAGTGAACGATAGGAGGAGAACATTCAACACAAGATATAAGTCGTAACATGCAGTCGCCGCCACCCGAGTGAGGTTGCACGAATGTGGGTGAAACCGGATTTGTGTGTGTCTGTGTATAATGTGTGTTCATGTGCGTACGTGTGTGTGCATGTGTGTCAGTGTGTATACACGTGTTCGTGTGCGCGTGTGCGCGTATGCATGTGTGTTAGTGTACATGTATGTGTGCGTGCGAGTGCATACATGTGTTTGTATGGGTGCGTATGCGTATGTGCATGTGTATGTGTATTAGTGTACATGTATGTGTGCGTGCGAGTGCATACATGTGTTTGTATGGGTGCGTATGCGTATGTGCATGTGTATGTGTATTAGTGTACATGTATGTGTGCGTGCGAGTGCATGTGCTTGCGTATGCATGTGTGCATACATGTGCAAGTGTGTGTCTGTGTATCTCTGTGCATGTGCGCGCTTGCCCACATGTATGTGCATGTGCGTGTGTGTGAACACGTGTGCATGTATGTGTATGCGTTAGGTGTTAACGTGTGCATGTATGTGTATGCGTTAGGTGTGCGCATGTGTGTGTGGATGCGCATGCGCATGCGAGTGCAATTTAGCATGCGTATGTGTGTGCGTGCGTGCGCATGTGTGCGTATGTAAGTGCATGCGTGTGTGTTTAGTTGAGGCTCGATTGCACCCACAAGCCATCCGTCACCACTTCGCCTGACACGGGAAAATAAACATCGTTTCATTTACGTAAAAACGCGACGCTACGTGAATCACGGACGCTACAGACTACTACAAATATCTGCTCAGCTGCCTCTGGTACGGCGGGTGTAGTGGTTGCGTCTCGGACCGGACACCAAGTGAAATCGATCGTCCTGATGTCCAGCAAAGAGTGACCGCAGATCCGCCATCGTCCGCTGTTTCCATGACGACTGCACACGCGAAGGCATGCGTGCGAGACTCCGAATGCAGACACAGATGGCAGCATCATCAGGCCGCGTCGATGCAGGTGGCAGCACTGGCACTTCAGGCGAATTCGCCACATGTGTGTGCGACGCTTCCGCGGGAAGTCAAGGCAGGTGGCAGCACCGAGCCGTCTCGTCCACGCGAGGACACACCGTGGCTGTGGCCGGAACGTACACACAGGTGGCAGCACCGACTTGGCCACGTACAATCCATGCGAACATGCGCGCGTCCTAAGTTGGCACGTCGACGTAGGTGGCAGCACCTGCGCGTCTCGCGACGTCCATGCACAGATGAGTTGAACTTCCCCACACTCCAGGTGGCAGCACCGACCCGTCACACAACGTTCGTGCGAAGACGCGTCGAACTTCCCCACACTCCAGGTGGCAGCACCGGCTCATCCACGCGAGTGCGCGCGGAGCCACCGCCGGCATGTTCATACACAGGTGGCGCCACCCGCCAGCCGCGCGACGACGTAGGGGGCGCCGCCGTCGCCCGCCCGCGCCCCCGACTACAACAACTCGATCTCCTGCTGACACGACCCCGCCTCCGCGCCAACATCCCGTCTCTCCGGAATCCACGCCGCCGCCACCGCAGACGCCGACGCCCCCTGGCGCTCCACGTCCTCGCCGCGCCCCCTCGCCGCCGCCGCCGGGGGGCGCCGCGCGCGCAGCAGCTGCTGCTTTCTCCGCTCGTCGTTGGGGAAGTTCTGAACGCAAATAACGCGGTTGTAGGCGCGCCAGCGGCGGCACAGCGCGCCGTACATCTTGCACTGGACGTACATGAAGACGAGTCCGCCCGTGAAGCCAATCGCCACGACGATGAGCTTCGTCCAGAACGGCCACTTGAGCACACCGGAGCGGATCTCCTCGGTCGTGCGGTCGATGAGGACGTAGAGAGACCAGACGACGCAGGTGATCGCGACGATGTGGACAGCTGACGGCTGGCACAGCACCTTACGCCGCTCCACGGGGGACATGTCAAGCTTCTCCCACTGCAACGACCAAAGGAATTGAGGATGAGAGAAGAAGACGTGGTAGAGAGAGAGAGAGAGGAGAGAGGAGAGAGAGAGAAAGAGAGAGAGAGAGAGAGAGAGAGAATAAAAGAA